AGCGGAACAAAGTAAAACGAAAGAAACGCCAGAAAAGCCTCAAACAAACGCGATGATATTCGTATTTTCGGGATTGGCGCCATGATGTACTCATCTAGCAGCACTCCGCACCTGGAGCAGTGTTCCCGCCGCCATTGAAAATTTTTAAGAGGCTGTAACTGAGCCGGGGAGAAGGGGGTATGAGGCAATTTGGGAACTAATTTGCAGGGTTTGGGATGTAGATAGAATTTATGTAAAAAAGTAAAAAAAGTTATGTGAGGGAGGAAAAATTCATGACTTCTTCTTTCCCCAGCTACCTCAGGTGGCTTCCGGTGGTCTGAAAGCCACCTAACTCCGAAAATTGAGCACGCCTTCAGTTTACATAATCTCTTCATAAGTTTTTTTCATACTCAGTCCTGACTCCCCATTGCCCACCTACGCACCTGTTTTGGTGTCATTTCATCTTCACTTCGCTGTAAGCAAGCCCTTTGTTTGTTTGCGAGAGCATGCTGCCGGCGGTCTGAAAGCCAAAAGACAGCGGTATGCTCTTCCGCAAAAAGATATATCTTTTGCTCTTTCTCCCAAAACGATATCCAGCTTGCTTGGTGAGCCATCTGTGCCGTGCCCTGTCCATCTCGAGTTTCAAGCCGAAAAATGAAAGGATCCAATTGCCCGAAAAAAAAGAAAAAATCGTAACTCTTTCCAAAAAGAATCCTACAAAAAAGCTAACTTGCTCACGTAAACAATAGGTGCATAAAACATTTATGTAGGACGTTGCCTTATTTTTCTTCTGTTAGAAATCAAAAACACGAAAATTTCATGCTTTTGCCGAAGTGATGCTGTACTATCACTACATAAGTAACTGTATACTACTAGCCTGTAGAAGTTTAAAAACAGATTCCAGCTCTCCACAACCTAATTTTCGAGAAATATAGATTTTAGCGTAAGTTAGCCGATTAAGGGAAGCTATATTCGATAACTCTCGAGAAGTGGAGCTTGTGGAGAGCTGGAAAGTTGTCTTTGTACTTCTACAGACTAGTAGCATACAACTACTCAGTAGTGACAGTATAGCATCACTCAAAAGCATGAAAATTTTCGTGTTGTTGACCTCTAACGGAGGAAAAAATACGGCAATGGCCTATATAAATGTCTTATGCGCATCGTGTTTAGTGAGCAAGTTAGATTTTTTGTAGGATTTTTTTCTTGAAAGACTACGATTTTCTTGATTTTTCGGGCAGTTGGATCCTTTCACGGTTGAAACTCGAGATGGATAAGACCTGGTGCAAAAGCAAGAACGCCTTCTTGTAGAGCTTGCTTTGCTCCATCGAATAGTATTTGAAAGCCTGTTTAAAAATAAGAAGTGTTTGAGTTGCTGCGAGTAAAATTCAAAACGGACGGAACTTATTGGGCAACCTGATAAGTTGTTACTTAAGTCTCGTTACACTCTATCTTTTACTGCGATAAGTCAGTTTTATCAGACTCTAAGGGCCGCATGCACTAACCTCCCCGCTGGGGAGGGGATCGCAGCAAGCTTTATATTAGGTTGATGCAAAAGTTCTTTCCGCTCATTTTCAAAAATTCATAACTTCCGATTTTTTCAACCAATTTGGCTGCCTTTATTTTTGTATGAAAGAGTAACTCATGCTCTTCATAATGACATCTTAGCTGCTTGCTGGTGATCATCTGTTTCATAGATACGAGCGATAGAAGAAAATTAGTCAAAATTCGAATTTTCTGTGTAGGGTCATAAAAAATCGGAAACTTGCAAGAAAACTCGGAGCAGTCTGTATTGTAGGTTTTTTCACCAGCTCTTTCTAACACTGCAAAGTTTGCGCTGATTGAGCGTCTCTACAAAAAGTTATGATTTTCCTGAAAAATGCCAAAATAAATCAAAATCGCCCTTTTGTATTGCTTGCTCGAAAATCGCAACTTTTCATAGAGACGCTCAATCGGCGCAAATTTTGCACCATTAGAAAGAGCTGGTAAAAGAACCTGCAATACTGACTGCTCCGATTTTTCTTGCAAGTTTCCGATTTTTTATGACCCTACACAGAAAATTCGAATTTTGACTAATTTTCTTCTATCGCTCGTATCTATGAAACAGATGATCACTAGCAAGCAGCTAAGATGTCATTATGAAGAGCATGAGTTACTCTTTCATACTAAAATAAAGGCAGCCAAATTGATTGAAAAAATCGGAAGTTATGAATTTTTGAAAATGAGCGGAAAGAACTTTTGCATCAACCTAATATTTCGAAACTCCAAATACCTGGATTTCACTTGTGTACCTATCCGTATGTATTCCTACTACTCTTCATTATGAACATGTTGAAGAGGAGCGAGAAGCTGTACGAAACGCATTTTCCAGCTTTTGTATGATCCCTGATGATCCCCGGCGCTTTTCTTTAAAGTCATTTTTCTTTCTCCGAAGTCAACGAAAACCTTCCAAAGTTGTACTGAGCATCTAACACAACAGTGCTAAGCGTGTTGCTGATGAGAACAAATGAGTTTTTGAAAAGTCGAACTTTTCGGTAAACCTCAAATTTCGACCTGTGGATCATCGAAAATTTCATGACTTCAAAACATCATTTGTTTTTATCAGCAACATGCTTAGCACTGTCGGGTAGGATGTTCAGTATAACTTTGGAAGGTTTTCGTTAACTTCGGAGAAAGAAAAATGACTTTAAAGAAAAGCGCCGAGGATCATCAGGGATCATACAAAAGCTGGAAAATGCGGTTCGTGCAGCTAAGTGCCATTCGATGAGCAAAGCAAGCTCTACAAGAACGTTTGCAAAAGCTTGCACCAATTCTTTGATTCATTCGCAGTTTGAATCCAAAAACAAAAAAGATTTAGTTGCTCAATCGAGAAGAATTCGGGGGGGGGGGAAGCGACAAGAATTTTATTGTGACTCTAGAAAATTTTTTTGATGTGCATCGTCAAATTTTCGCGGACTCATAGCCCCGAAATTTCAGAAAAGTACATCGAGCACCTCCCGAAAAAAAATTTATAAGGCTGAGATAAATTTTCAAAAAAAATTGTTTTAATTATTTACAATTATAAACAAATTACTTGCACAATTTTAGAACTCATGCAAGTAACATTCAAAAAAAGCGACCCATTCTCGGGGGAGGAGGAGGGCGCCCTCCCCCCTGGTAAGCGACTGTTTCACGCGTATACATTCCACATAAGACCATGTACACATTTGCGGCTTATCGAGAGAATTAAAATGTCCAAATTTCCACTATGCTGAGCTATTCCCGTACCAATATATGTGTACTGCAAGCCTTTAGAGGTACAACAGTGAATTTTCAGCTTTCTGAAGGCGTTAGTTCTCGAGAAATATTGGTTTTAGCACCAAACACCCTGGTGAGGAAAGCTAAATTCGATAGTTCTCGAAAAGCAGCACTTGTAGAAAGCCTAAAACGCACGATTGTACTTCAAAAGGCTTATAGTAACCACAAGTGGGAACAGCTCAGCATTGCTTTGGTAAATACTTGGAAATTTCAATTTTCTCGCTTTATAGCCGAAAAAATAATACCGCAACTGCATATAGGAATGTCTGATGTGGAATGTATCTGAGTGGTCAAATTAGAATTTTTGTAGGATTTTTTCGAAAGAATTTGCAAACTTCCTCGATTATTAAGCAATTAAATCTCTTTTGGATTCGAATTTAGCGTTCAGAATTGGTGCGAACTTTTGCATTCTTCCTTGTACAGCTTGCTTTGCTCTATCGAATGGTAACTTAAAAATCTGATTAAAATTAAGAGATTTGTGACTTATCGCGGTAAAAACTCAGAGTAACAAGATTTAGCAACAACCTTACAAACAGGGTGTCCCAAACGTGAACATTGTTTGATCGTTAATATTCTCTTGTTTTCACGTCTTTCACCGAGCTTGGGGTACCATTTTGTATAGCGAGGTCAGGGCCCGGCGGGGGTGGCGCTTGCACAGGCTGGATATCGTTTTTGGCCCGAAAAAGCAAAGGGGATATCGTAATCAGGGGTCCGGGGCGGAGCCCGGAAAAAAAATCGACACAGGTCTGTACAAGAGATGCAACATTGTCACGCAATGCATTATGCATGAAAAGTTACTTACAATTCCACACTGGGTTGTGTTGGAAAATTAGTAGGTTCGTATATCATTATTCTGAGTTGTTTCAATTTCTATTTAAAGAACTAAACATCTGCAACTGATGCTAAAAAATATTCGCCCTCTACGCCGCCTAGAGAGGAAGGGTGCTGTTCCGCTTTCGAATCATGTTTATGCGGAAAAGCGAATCATAATGAGCAGATGTAAAATCATTTGTGTACACTATAGGAAAGCTCATTTTCAAACTGTTTTAACAACTTCACAAATTGCTCTACACTCAACGGATTTTTGTAGTTGACGTCGATTGCTTAGATTTCCGGGTTTCTTGAGTACACTGAAACTTTTGTCAAACCATATGAGCTCAAAGAAAAATTACGATTCGCTGGTGATTAATTCAGATCCATGCAAATAAAAATCTAAAATAAGTGTAACTGTGAAAAAGCTATTTCCCTCTTCAATATATTCAATCTTGGGACTTCCATGAAAAAGTCTATGTTGAGCATTCAAAGATTTCAGAAATATGTCTTGCAGAAGTCTGCGTTTGCAAAAAAACTGGCTGCTTTTGGGAAATGGAAATGTAGATAAGTGGAAAATTGGTCCTGAACAAGTGAGATTGCGGATTTAAACGCTTAGACACCGGTGATTGCTATCTATTGAAGGGGGGGGGGGAACAATGTTGCATCAAACTGATTTATGACCATTTCTCAATTCCTCGTCTGCAAAGCTTGACCAATTAAATTAAAATAAATGAATTCAGGAATCCATGCAGACAGTGTGTACTGTATTAGCGAGATTGCAGAAAATTTCAAAAGAGAAGCGAGTGCCAGCTTGCTTTGCTGAACAAAACTTTTCCTTTTCTAATTTGGTGAAAGGAATTTACAGCTTAAGCTAATTTTTTCTTTGGGATTTACAAGAATAGCCTTCTTTACAGATGAAAACAAGTCGCTTGCATACTCTATATGCTCAAACAGCAGAGCACAGAGAGCACATCTACAAGTACTTTGCGGCGCTATCCAGGATTAAACGGGAATTTATCCTCTTTCCCAACCTTCCCCCGCCTCTGGCTCTCATTGCGGTAGTTGTACTACGGATACATACACAATGACCACAAACATTCGCCTTTCTTGCTGTTGAACTGCCTCATGAACTCGAAATGCAGCCAGCAGTACAATTTGGCGCTCCAAAATTCACCTTGCCAGCGCGCGGGAATTCAAACGGGTATTTATGTATTGAGAAAATGAAGTGACAGGCTCGTTTGAAGCGTATAGGCAACTTTAAGTCGCCAATTTTAGTCCATAGGAGCGTGGTAAGGAGTAGAGAAGATCTACGAAAAATTATGAAAAACTTATGTGAATAGCAAGAGTGGTAAGTGTTTTTCGAAATTAGGTGGCTCCCGCGCCACCTGGGAGCCACCTGGGGTGGCTCCCTGCTTCCCTTCACATAAGTTTCCGGATTTCCCGACATAAATGTGTTCTACGTCAAAAACTTCTACTACTAATACAAAGCTGATTTCAAATCATAGAGGCGCCTCTCTGATACGGACCCAAATATATTGTCATCGCAATGTGAAAACATAGAAAGCGCGCCCCAGTCGCAAAAGTGTGCGCCGCCAATCGCAACCATGAAAAATGTGTTATTTTGCACACTATTTTCAAATGCTTTGATTTTTTAAGTTGCTTTGGTCTTACCCACGTTGTTTTCATGCGATTATTATTTGCCTCGTTCTTCTTGTTTTGTCATGCGCTAATCATCATATTTAGGTAAGCAAGGAACTGATTGGAACAAACACGCTTCAAACAGGAAGCGTAGTCTTGGATCAACTCGCTCCCATGTTTCAGTGTGAGTATCATGGGATTCGTCTCATGATTTTTCCTTTTTAATGAACTCTTCTTCCTTACTTTGCTTTAATTTTAGCACTGAATTTTTACTAAAGTCTACATTTTGTTGTCTGTTTTTGTTTCACTTTTCCCGGAATTGCGGATGCTTAAACTAGCCGTAGTTAATCTTCACAAAAATTTCGTCGAGATCTTTTTTGCATGACTTTGGTTGATGATTACTGGGTAGAACGTGAGCATTGCAGATGTACTGACACGTGCCAGCTTGGAGGGACTCTCTCAGTGAAGAAATAAGAGTATGTGCGCGGCTGAGAGCAAAATAGGTCAGCTGGTTGTTTTGAACTATGGTATCCATTGAATTCCTTTTTCATTAACCAGTTTCAGCGGGAGATATCACTGGCGCGGAGATTGAAGGCTTCCTCTATGGCAATGTGCAAAAAATACTGATCGCAAAGATAAGGTAAGTATTTCGTTTCTTAGCCTTTGTTCTAACCTAAGGTTTTCTGCATTAGTTATTTTCACATTATTTCTTCGAAAATGATGTTCTTGACAATTTTTGAGAGCGACTCAATCCCAACCCCTTTCATTGAATTCGAAGCGATGTTTTTTTACAATCGTTGGAGAAGAATAGTTGATTCGTTAACCGCATGGACTGGACATCACTGCGGAGCACGGCCGCGAGGTAAAACGCTCCCTCAGTACAGATTCGCATTGTAGAAGTCGTGCTCTCGCGACAATTTAGCGGCGCCGCACGTGGTCCGCAGCGTTTGAGTGGTCCGTGCGGTTAACGCATCGATGATAGTTGTACTCGCTACTCACATGCAGTCAATCTGTAGGTGAGTAGATCTCACTGTTTGTGCTGTCGCTGTGGTGCCGGCAATTTTGCTACGCCAGGAAAGCCAGTAGTTTGCGTGTACAAAATGGCGCTGAACATTTTCAAATTTGGCTTTCCTTGTCATTTTCTTTACGCGCAAGTTTTGTCAGCGGATCTTGTCACTGCAGTTACACACAGTTTTTAACAAATCAACCAACTATAGGCTGTTGCGTGAGAAGGCGCAATGTCTTTGGGCGCGAACGCGGTTTTTTGCGGAACGCATGAGGGCAGGATCTTCAAAGGCAAAGATATGCTTTCGCGAACTGCTCAACCAGTACTGCTTCAGCGTCCTGCAGCAGCCTTCAAGTTTACCTGCAACGCACGGACACTACTTTGGGTGCGTTCATACTGACCCGCGAAGTCCGGGAACAGTTCTAGCACAGTGCTCAAACTGAGCGCTGTGCTAGAACTGTTCGCGGACTTCGGAATCAGTATGAACACAGCCTTTTCTGCTTTAGAGTTAGTTCAGTCACAAAGACACCAACGGGAACGGTTTGTCACGGCTGTTAAAGCACTGATTTTGGACTTTTTGCGAAATGACCACACTGCTTCTTGATATATATAGGTCACGAACTGCTACTTCTTTATCCGTTAGAGGTGTCTCCAGATGCCAGCGTTTATCATTGGCATGTGTGTTTTTTTTATAAAATCACTCAAACAAGGAGGTTCTGTGTCATAACACATTCTCAAGAAATCTAATGACGCTGTGTTGCATCTTTTCTCTGTAGAATTCCCAAGTTTCAACAATATACAATCTTTAGTTGTTTCAGCTTCGATCTTAGCAGAAGTTTTCGCGCGTGCAGTTTACATGAAGAAGTTTTATAAGAGTTTCTCAAGAAAAAGCACCTACATTAAGGTACGTTTTTGCTATTAAGCTGGTAAAATTTTAGCCGTTTTTTTTGCAGGAAGAATACTGCTTCATTTGGCATGGAGATTATAGCCTACCAAAACGCTCAAGTCTCTCGCCAGCGACCAATGCGGCGTTAAATTGAAGCTGCTTATGTGTTCCCGTTTTCACGTGATTCATCTAACCTTCAAAGCCGTGTATAAACAACTTTTTGCTTTGGTTTCTTTAGTTTCTGCGCAATTCCTAAAAATTCAGATAAATCTTGCTTCAGAGAAACCCTTAAGTTTTTTCTATAACATTTTTTGACGATCAGATTTTTTCACTAGCTGCATTCTTGAAAGCAAAACAGATTAAAAGATTCCTAAAGGCGTACAAAGTATCGTGCTTCCTATACAACTTTTTTGCATATCCACATTGGGAATCAGGAGTGGTTCGCTCTCCTTCCTTTTTTCAATTGCATTTTGTCTTTTTATTTTTGTCCAAAAATTGCGCTTTCACTCCATCCTGTTTATCATTAATAGCCAGAGTCCGTCTCAATCGCAAAGACTTCCCACAGAACCCGCCAATGCCTCGCCCGACGTCTGCGGACGTTCAAATCGGCCTCACTTATTGAAGTTCAAGTCGAAAGTTTCGATATTGCGAAGACGTAGCCACACGCAAAGGGGTCCTGCTATTGAGTTAGGGTGTAAATAATATATGAGGTTGCAGTAGGTGTTTGTATCAATTCTGTTCAAAAAATTCGGAACGCGCCCTAATATAATAGAACTAGCAAGGAAAGGATACCAACTCAATCTGATGAACCGAAAAGAGATGTCACTAGACGCGTTCACACTTTTAACCCTTTTTGTCCCGACTCATGTCCACATTGTTCACAAGTGTTTGGGCAAGCTTTACACGAGCACTGAGGGTCAAAGAGAAAGTCGTAAGAATTTTCATGTCAAAGGGGATATTGTTTTGAAAAATCCAAAATGCAACCTTGTGCCGGGCCCTGAGCGAGGTTCGACTTAGAGTCTGCTCCAATCGGGATCAGACCGAACCGTTGAGGTGAATTGCGCGCTCGCAGCGTTAAAGGTTCGCGGCATGCGCGCACTGTCGCAGAGAGAGAAGAAATTTGAGAGAGAGCAGACTAGCTATCCGTAGGCGTGACGCAACCCTGGCGAAAACGGATTCACGCCATGCCAATTTTGCCTGGTTAGGATTGGGGCAGACTGTAGATTTACAGCTTGGGAAAATGTCCGATTTTTCCTCGTTACTGTAGGATTACGGTACAAACTTTCAGCATATAGCGCCACTGTGGAATAGATCTTCTAACGAAGAAAAAAATTCTAAAAAATCCAGAAGATTGTGTAGCAAGGTTTTAAGGCGTGCCGATTTCATTACATAACTTTTTACCAGTAAGCTTTTTTAATGGTGTAATTACCTTCTGACGAACACTGTAAAACAATCGCTACCCCAAACCTGAAATTCCTATATATATAGCTGGTCTGCTTGTATGTCTGTCTGTATGTGTGTACGTATGTTCCGAATAGAAAATTCCATTTCTGAACCGATCCGGACCAAACTTGGCACACATACACTTCGGGACCGGGCGAGTGTCATAGGCTACTTTTCGTCATCGATCGACATCGATTTTATCGACTTTTTTGCAGAGATTGAGCTACGGGGCTGGGATTTGGCAGAGGGGGGTAATCGAGCATGCTGATTACGAATATAATATTATTTTTGGAATTATCCATTAGTTTTATCGATTTTATGGAATTTTTTGCAAATTTTGGGCTACGGGGCTGGGAATTGGCACAGGAGGTAATCGAGGATGCTGATTACGAATACAATATTAGTTTCTAAAATTATCCATTACTTTTATCGATTTTATCGATTTTTTTGCAATGTTTGAGCTATGGAGCTGGGGATTGGTGAGGGAAGTAGGTGAGCATACTGATTACTAACACAGCGGGAATAGGGAATTGCATGTAGAAATGGGCACAGGGAAAGGTTGTACAGGGATAGGAATGGAACCTTTATCGTTTTTGACAGAGCCGGGCGGAGCCGGGTAAGCCAGGTGACTTATAAGAGAAGCATTAAACTGAGGTGGAACTTTCATATTTAGAATCAGCGACTTCAATTAGTCCAGTGCAAGAATTTCTGGCTTGTTCGGTTTTCCTTCTGAGTCAAAAATCGCTCTTATTTCTTGAAAATCTCCCCGAAGTTCCTACCGTCATCCTGCAGTAATACAGAGTAAATGATGATTCGCTCCATATTGTAAATCTAACAAGGGAAGCGTCATTAGTCAAAGTGGCCTTTCCAGATGAGACCCATACTGCTTTGAAGAGCATTAAGCGGTGATTCCAAATCTGCCTTCCAAATCTGCCAAGCGCCTCTGGCCGCCGAGTTATGACCATTTTTTGAAACGAAAAATGAATGCATAATTTAGGTAAAATCGATTGTTCCAATCTTCTCAGTGCTCAGATAAAGCAATTTTAAGTGTTAGCATATTAGACAAAATGTATCCATTGCATAAACGGCTCTGATACTTGACACCGGACCATCTGAGTAAATTTGGGTGACTTTGTTGAAGTTTTGCATTCAATTTTTTGACCTGGAAAACGCCCATAACTCGGTGTCCAAAGGCGCTTGACAGATTTGGAAGCATAGGTGCGATAGGGGGAGCCGGGCTCTCCCGAGGTGAAGGGGGTCTCGGCTGTTCCCGACCTTCCAGGGTGAAGGGGGTATGTGAGTCTAGGGGGGGGGGAGGAAGAGAGAAAAGGTAAAAAAGCGTGGTATGAAGAGCTCTAATTTGCACCTTATTTAGGCACAAATTGAAAAAAATTTAAAAATTTTGGAAGGAATTAAGAATTTTAAAAATTGACTTTATGAAGATCTGTGCTCCTGTTTCATCGCATCAACAAAAAACGAAAGCAATAAGGTTTACCCCAAAAGATGTACAAGTTAGGAACAACTTCAATTCCTGCACATCATCATCAACAATATTACTATCGCTAACGTCAGAGGCAACAAGTTCGCTGCCTGAAAAATCTTATTCTTCCTCCAAAAGGTCATCGGAGTAGAAGTAGAATTGGGTGCAAAAGCGTTCTGAGTCGAAAATGGATTTGAAACTTTCTTCTTTTTCTAAGCGCTTTTGTGATTTTTTTTCCTGGCCCTCTGGTAGCACCAGGAAAGTTCGCAGGTAGGTGACCAGTTTCTTCATACCATCTTTTAGGATATTTCAAAAAGTCATACGGTAATAGCCTGTATGAACCACTTATACCAATCCTTTAAATGAAGTTTTTAGATAACAATATGTTCAGTAGAAGGTTGACAAATTAAGTAATTGCTTAGATGCTCCATCGTTGTACGACTTCTGCGTTGTGCTCTGATAACAAAGGATAGAAAATTTCTTTCTCCACCTCTGCCGTGCTAGTCGGAATGGAAACTAGCTTTGCTAGTAAGTCCATCAGATTTTTTCGGTAAGTAATGGGGAAAGAGCGAGATTGCATATGCTTTCGCAACACAAGAAGGGAATATTGCATACTTTTTTGAGCCTTGTCAAACTCTGGCTTCACTTTCTCTGGCATACGTCTTGTTGGCTGGCGAGAAAGCTGCTCAACTTCTTCTTCAACAGCATCTGCGGAATAGCCGAAAAAAGTAGATACTATGCTGCGCGTTGGTTTTTTTTTTCAATATCATAGGTCATAATGTCACAAAGCGAATAACTTCCAAAAGCATAAAGCACAGAGTTGGGTTTGCACTCCAGTCGGGATCTAAGAGCAGTAGCTATGCTTTGTACTAACACCTTCCCTTTGTTCATATCCATGTTTGTGAATTTAGCAGCTTTGAAATCTTCAGCAACATGAAGATCAGCAGTGGACTTCCTGGACATTCTCACTGAAACTAGGCAATCTGCTTGGATTCCTTATGTAGAAAATCAGAGAGTTTCGCTCAATTGTCGACTCTGTATCAATGTCGACAACATTTTCGTCGGCATAAGATTTTCCTTCTGCCTCGCTGTTGAACTGGAACACATGCGAGTCATCTGCGATTTTGTGAAGTATTCTGCCTGCCGTTTCCTCTTCAAAGTGCCAACCTTTCCAAAACATTGAGGGATATTTTAATAACATGTTATTCTTCCGAATGTCTTAAAGTTTTTGATTCATTGAAACCAACCATTCTCTACAAATTAGGTAAGGTGAGTCTAGAGCGTTTTCACGAAAGTGACCTTCTTCAGCACTAGCTTTACAGAGTATAGCTTCCAGAAATGGGCGGATTTTTGTGTGAAGGTGTGGAATTTCACCAATCTCCCATAGTTTTTTGAGTGTGTGCTAATAATGATGGCATAACTGTCAATCAAAAGCGAATTTCTAACCAAAAAAAAAACATAAACATACAACAACGATAAGCACGCTTAAATAGATGCGTTAGCTCTCGTTCCCGTTAGTGCTGATAACGATGTCAATCCATAGCACATTTTTACTATTAACTTGCTCCACCTCGCTCTTATTGGGTCGTCCCGAACGTTTTTGCGCACGATTTTCAAAAATTCATAACTTCTGATTTTTCCAACCAATTTGACATCTCAGTGCTTAGTAAAGGTCATCTGCTGCATAGATAGGAGCGATAGAAGAAAAATGGTCAAAATTTGAATTTTCTGTGTAGGGTAAAAAAAAATCGGAAACTTGCAACAAAAATCGGAGCAGTCGGTATTTCAGGTTCTTTCACCAGCTCTTTTTAACGGTCCAAAGTTTGCGCCGATTGAGCGTTTCTATAAAAAGTTACGATTTTTCTGAAAAATGCCAAAATAAACCAAATTCGCCCTTTTGTATTGCTTGCTCGAAAATCAAAACTTTTCACAGAGACCCTCAATCAGCGCAAACTTTGCACTGTTAGAAAGAGCTGGTGAAGGAACCTACAAAACTGACTGCTCCGATTTTTGTTGCAAGTTTCCGATTTTCTATGACCCTACACGAAAAATTCAAATTTTGACCAATATTCTTCTATCCCTCTTATCTATGCAACAGATGACCATTAGTAAGAACTGAGATGTCATTATAAAGAGCATGACTCACCCTTTCACATAAAAGTGAAAACAGTCAAATCGGTTGGAAAAATCAAAAGTTATGAATTTTTGAAAATCGTGCGCAAGAGCTTTCGGGACGACCTATACAATGTGTTGGCTTATATGGGTTACCGGAGCAAATGATTTTTAGAGCCGGGAAGCAGAGAAGCCCTAACATGCTGTATACCATTCGAAAGCTGAGATCATGGAAAATCGACGTAGACCGTCGAGTTTTTTCTAGGTCTTCTGTGCCGCGAGATATGAGGGATTTTATGTGCTTCAAAAATTAACTGGTTTTGTGTCCTCACTTCCTGCTTTCCAAATGAACGTTACGAGAAAGTCGACGGCCTACGTTTGTTAATGAAGACTTGCTCTTTAACACAGATAGATAACCAGCAGTGATTATGTCTTCATTTAGCAGAAATCTGCTGTTGAAGATGACCATGTTTTCAGATAAAATGCGGTGTATCTCTCGATAGAGGGGGGCTAGAAAGAAGTCGACGGTCTAGGTCGAATCCTCTTTTCCTGAGCTTTCGAATGGTATATAAGTTGCTAGGCGAAAAGACTAACCAGTTTTCAAAAATGGGGTGGATATATTTACTATTAGCTTGCTCCAACCCGGCTCCACCAATGTATTGGCTTTCATCGGTTACCGGAGCAAATGATTTTTAGAGCCGGGAAGCAAAGTAGCCCTAACATGCTGTACACCATTCGAAAGCTGAGATCATGGAGAATCGAAATAGACTGTCGACTTTTTTCTAGGTCTTCTGTGCCGCGAGATATGAGGGATTTTATATTCTCCAAAAACCAACTGATTTTTTGTCCTCACTTTCTGCTCTCCAAATGAACCGAGGATAAATAAATAATATAAATAAACATAAATACCGTTTCTTTTGTAAATTTATGAGTGTACTTGTTGCTTGAGGTACTTAGCCTGCAAAACCTTTTAATGACGATTTTTATCATATTCTCATAGTACAATACCAATCTCGGCCCAGGTGAAGGGGGTCATCGGGAGTTTGGCCTCAAAGTGAAGGGGGGTAAGATCCATCACTCCCCCTATCGCAACTATGTTTGGAAGGCAGATTTGGAATCACCGCTTAATGCTCTTCAAAGCAGTATGGGATTCATCTGGAAAGGCCACTTCGACTGATGACGCTTCCCTTGTAAGTTGAACCTCGCTACAGAATGGCACCCTCAAGCTTGGCGAAAGACGTGAAAGCAAGAGAGTTATTAGCGATCAAACAGTGTTCAAGTTTTTTGGGACACCCCTTATACATATGTAATTCGATAGCCTGGATCTTCTAAATGTCACAAGAATAATTCAGGCCTGGTTCGTCTGCTCTGCTCTGACTGATAGTTGATAGATCCACTAAAAGCGAAAAATGAGACAAAGGCGAGATTTTGGCTTGCTTTTAATTTTCCACAGCTTACCTATACCATCCCCACACGGTGATCTCTAAACCGCAATTAATGTCTGCTATGACGTCACTCTGGAGGAGTTATAAAGGATTTTTGGTGCAGTGGATAGTGGCTTGGACTGCAGAGCTGGATGTCGTGTGTTTGATTCCTCTGGGAGGACCACTCGTTTTGCATTTTTGTAAATCTTAGCAGGCAGATTGCAAAACCTGTCCACATTTAAAAAAGTTGATTTTTACAATTTGAAGCAATATACAATACCGCTCACAGAATGTGCAAAATTTCCGTAAATGGCGCAGAATTCCGAAAATTCCGCGAAGGTTCGCGAAATTCCGGGAATTTTGCGACATTCCCGGAATTTCGCGACATTCCCGAAATTTCGCGAAATTCATGTAAATCACGCAAATTACGCAGGGCCATAACTTCGTTCCGAATGAGTATATTCAAAATCCGAAAACAGCATTGTGATCAGCTCGTCAAGGCGAATCTTTTGGTATACAGGTTGTCTCCAATATCCTCTTTTCAATAATCTTGAATCTGCATGCGGACGCCTTTTCGCGTGGGTGTAACGCAACAAGCATCACACATAGAAGATTGCCATGGGCACCGTTCGATAGTACTCTTTCAGTAGATTATTCTGCGCTAAACAGCAGCCGAAGACTCTCTTTTAAAAGAGATAGAAGAGCTGATAAACTCTGGAAAAATCAAGCTGTTCCAAGTTCTACTAGCCGTAACTTCCTTCAGAATGAACATCTTCGAAATCCGAAAACAGTATTGTGTTCAGCTCGTTAAGGCGAATCTTTCGGTATACAGCATGTCCTTGAAATTCCATTTCCAATTTTTTCAAAATTTTCTGCGTGCGTATATTCGCAAGGTCGCAACGCAGCGCACATTAAGCATAAAAGACTCCAATAAGCACTATTGGATTGTGCTGCTCCCGCAGATTACCGAGCGCTAAAAACGAAGTGGAGAATCTTTTTCGAAAAAGATAGAAGAGCTGGTGAATTCTGGAAAAATCGTGTTGTGTCAAATTTTGCCCACTGTAACCCTAAAATGGGAAGCTCTCCTGCTAAGCAGATGTGCTTTTCGTAATCAGCAGGTCAGATAACCTCTTTGAGCGAAGTTTCCTTATAATCCAAGATCATCGACATTTTGACCAAAACCCATCGGCGAGCTTCAGGGCGTAGAATGAGAAAAAATCAAATCACCCGAATTTCTTTGAAAACTTGCTCATAGAAGTTATCTGACCTGCTGATTACGAAAAGCACATCTGCTTAGCAGGAGAGCTTCCCATTTTAGGGTTACAGTGGGCAAAATTTGACACAACACGATTTTTCCAGAATTCACCAGCTCTTCTATCTTTTTCGAAAAAGATTCTCCACTTCTTTTTTAGCGCTCGGTAATCTGCGGGAGCAGCACAATCCAATAGTGCTTATTGGAGTCTTTTATGTTTAATGTGCGCTGCGTTGCGACCTTGCGAATATACGCACGCAGAAAATTTTGAAAAAATTGGAAATGGAATTTCAAGGACATGCTGTATACCGAAAGATTCGCCTTAACGAGCTGAACACAATACTGTTTTCGGATTTCGAAGATGTTCATTCTGAAGGAAGTTACGGCTAGTAGAACTTGGAACAGCTTGATTTTTCCAGAGTTTATCAGCACTTCTATCTCTTTTAAAAGAGAGTCTTCGGCTGCTGTTTAGCGCAGAATAATCTACTGAAAGAGTACTATCGAAGGCTGCCCGCCGCAATCTTCTATGTGTGATGCTTGTTGCGTTACACCCACGCGAAAAGGCGTCCGCATGCAGATTCAAGATTATTGAAAAGAGGATATTGGAGACAACCTGTATACCAAAAGATTCGCCTTGACGAGCTGGATACAATGCTGTTTTCGGATTTTGAATATACTCATTCGGAACGAAGTTATGGCCCTGCGTAATTTGCGTGATTTACAATTTCGCGAAATTTCGGGAATGTCGCAAAATTCCCGGAATCGTTTTGAAAATTTCCTGGTGCCAGCTCGTGCCGAGCCCTGTCCCAGAGGAAAAAAAACAAACAAAACAAACACACGACATCCAGCTCTGCAGTCCAAGCCACTATCCACTGCACCAAAAATCCTTTATAACTCCTCCAGAATGACGTCATAGCAGATATGGATTGCGGTTTAGAGATCACCGTCTGAGGACGGTATACGCGGTATACACCGCTTACCCAATCGTCAGTGCGATTAAGTATCCTTCCCTTGTGAGATGGGCAAAGTAGGAATAGCGATTTGTATTGAGCGCAAAAGGGTCGATTTATTTTGAAATAAGGTTAATCATGTTCGAAAATGAGCATCTCACTCATGTGGTTCGACATTTGGAAACTTCAGAATTCACTCAAACTTGATCCACAGGGGTTATTTGACATGCTAATCACGCATATACTGCTCGCTATGCTAGGTAGGGCTTTTAAATTATGCCTATCTTCGGTATACAATAGTTAAGTAGATCCTACTGATACAAATTAGAGAGGGGGGGGGGATCGAATTCAGCGATCGGGTGCCATACCTCTCGCTTGACCCCGTTTCCGCCATCGAAAAATCTAGAAATTAGCTACTGCAAACAATAGCGTATACCAAGAAAAATCAAATCCTCCAAACAGCTATCTTCTTCTACATGCAAACTATACTTTAGAATCGAATTTTTTTTTTTTGAATAATCGAATGTTTTCGAAAATCAGAACTGTCGAATAGTCGAGTTTTATACTTTCAGAAACAAAAAATTTCGAATATCCGAGCATCGAATATTCTAGAAAATCAAAGATGCCGAATAAGCGAATAATTTCAAAATGAAAAAATCCCGAATCGAATATCTTCGAGAAAAAAATTGGAATAAACGAACACTTTGCATCGACTATGTCGAATATTTGCTCGAATTTTGATTGAATCAGCACAATGAAGGACTCCAGTGGGCAAATTGAACAATAAACGATGGTTGCTGATTTGTATAGCAGTCAAAATCATGTAGTTATTCGATATACGAAGTTGTCGAATAATCGAATAACTTTTGAAAGTAGATATTCGAATGTTCAAATATATTCGAAAATCACAAATTTTGAATAACCGAATAATCGAACAAATTAAAATTGACAAATTTCGAATAAGCGAATATCGAATATATTCGAGATTTTGAAGTTTTCGAATAATCGAATTCCGGGTAAGTTCAATTCAAATACTCGAATATTTATTCGATTCGGTTTAGAGTATAATGCAAACCCGAGATGAATAATATAGGAATATCTCAAAACTAGTAGCAGACGTCTTTATCACAAATTAGAAACTCTTAAATATTGAGTGCTGAAACTTTTCATTTAAGTTTAGTGATCACTGAGCAATGGATATCACATTACTATGGAGCACGTTTGAAAGATATAAAAGCATCAACATGAGTGACTGGTTTTCGACTGCAGGCACAGTTCTTCTTGTTAATTACTGAATGAGCTGCCTGATGACGTACTGGAGTATTCCGCCATTACGATAGTATGTGAGTTCAACATCGGTGTCGAAGCGGCAAATAACCTAAGATATACAGAGAATCCATAGAAAACAAACCGAGAAGAAAGATGGTTTCTTGGCTGCTCAAAGGGCCCCTTGAATAAAGGCTGCTAGGTATCCTATTAGAAACAATTACGCCGAAAAATCGTCGCGACACAATAATAATAAGCAATAATCAACTCTCTTCTTTTCTTCATTAGTCCATATCATCATAATTACAGATAACGGGTTTACGAAAATTCAGAACTCTTTTAGAAAAAAACTAGTGAGTTTTTTTCTCTGAAAGAGAGGCGACCTAGGGATCACTGAAAATGATGATTGGAAACTCCATTCGCACATAAGGCACCATTTCCGCTCGCAGCTGCACTTATTTATTAGGTCATTCCGAAAGTAATTCGCTTTTTTCAAACGGGCGCCACATCTGATAGAACAAAGGTTTTTAAGAGATCTTGGTAGCATTCGAAACAGCATTCCATTCTCTTTCTAATGGTTATAAAAATGTTGCAAAACAGTCAATGAGCTTTCAGAAAATAACCAAAATCTGCGACCTATGCTTTTTGAGATAGTCAAGTTTCACAATTTTTTAAAACTTTCATATCAAGTTTCACAATTTTTTAAAACTTTCATATCAATTTTCAGAAGAAGTTCAAGTGACGCTTCGATAGAGCAAACCTCATAGAGTACAGTGCATCTTTTTTCACTTTTCCATAGCTTGTCATAAATTTTTAACAGAATTTTAACTGATGCTACCGATTTCCATACTTGGACAGCTAAATCCTAGTAGAACATTAAACCTTGAGCAGCTCGGGTGTCATTCGATGCAGCTTTTTCTCCTCTTTCTAATGAGTGTTTTTTGTTTCCGATTTGCTTAGTTTCCAAGGGTAAAATCATCACAACTCATTTTTTAGGGAGCTCCAGGCTGTACCCGAAAAACTCGAAATTTGATATTTCGAACCGTAAACCCTCACTTGCTTTGTAAAATTAGTGCTAACTCATAGTACCATCTTGGTAGTGTCAAATTCCGAAAAATTATGATGTTTGATGCGATTGTGGTTGAAGTGGGCCTGCCAAAATTCGATGGTTCTGCTAAAAAATCTTTTAAAAAATCACGACGCGCTACGAGAAAGGGGAAAAAGTAGCACTGTATTCTACGAGTTTTACTCTATCGAATCATTACTTGAGCTCCTTCTGAGGATTGATATGAAAGATTTAAAAAATCGTGAAACTTGGCCATCTCAAAAAGCATGGGTTGCAGATTTTGGTCATTTTCTGAAAGCTCATTGACTGTTTTGCAACATGTTCATAACCGTTAGTAAAAGAATGAAATGCTGCATCGAATGCTACCAAGATCTCTCAGAAACCTTTGTTCCATCAGATGTGGTGCCCGTTTGAAAAAAGCGAAATTACTTTCGGAATGACCTAATATTTTTGATTCGACGCCTTCATTCTTGCTATTGCATCTTGCATGATACCAGACATAGAATCCCACATAAATATCGCCCCTTCCCAGCTAAATATACCGGACCTATGGGGATTTTACTTGGAAAGTAATTTTAGGGCCTGAACTAAAGCACGGCCCAAGCGGCAGCGCAAATGACTCACTAATAGCTGAGATGTACGCCTCCAAACTGGATCCCAGGCTCGTATTATTATTATTATCGGACGAATTGTATCGTGTTTGCATGTTTTGGCGCGAGAATCCACACAAAACTGATGTGTAGCGCCATGAATACATGCGAAATACGATCCTGGGGACCATGTTGGAGGCGAATATCTCAGCCGTCAGAACACCATCTAATCTGCCGGTTGGGCAGTGTCTTAGGGTCCCAAAATTACTGTCCACGTGATCCCACATGTCCAGATTTGCCTGGACGCTGCCTTCATGGAAACGCGTTTTGTTACATGCCCATGATAGATTAAGACCCCTCTATTATGTCTTCAACCCATGTCAGTTTAACCGCAAGGTACACACAATTTTTGGATTCATCCAAACTATGGAATTTGATAATGATTCCGATCAGCGATGAATATTAATCTAGAGGGTAATCTTGATATAGGGCATCCGAAAAATCATGACGATGGTGCGACCGCGCGCGACACGCACGCACTTCCTTCTCTGTTTCTATCTCTACTCGAATGGTTTTTCTGCTTACATTTGAAAGTATTCAGAAACTGGAAGTGCCTGAGCTAGCGTTGAGGTGATGCCTGTTTGTATGGATGTTTTATGCTCCTGTTGCGCAAAGAACGCAGTCAAACTCGTCGTCATTTTAAAAATGAACCATAGTTGGGTTCTTATAACCCACTGACAAGGGAAGTGTCAGAAGTCGCAGTGGCCTTTTGATATGGGATGGGTACCATCTTAAGCAGCTTGAAATGCTGATTCCAAAACAAGCTTTCTTAGCTGCAGAACTGATCTGGATCGCGAGTTATGGGCATTTTAAACATTAAATTTTACATTGTTTGAAGTACTCTGTGATCACGGGAACCTTTCAAATGCTTGTTTAAGCACCACAGCATGACTTTGATGAAAGCGTAGGATTACGTTAAACATTGATGGACTGTTTCATCTATGCTTGAGCCCAAAAAAATGTTCGCTTTAATTTTTGGCTATTCTCAGCATTGTAAATTTCCCGCAAATTAAATTCAATAACTCTCGTCCTAGATTAGTTCTGCAGCTAAGAAAGGCTGTTTTGAAATCAGCATTTCAAGCTGCTTCAGATGATACTTATTTCATGTCAAAAGGCCACTGCGAGTTCTGAAACTTCCCTTGTGAGTTCCAAAGTGATTACGTTCACTGAAGGGTAAATAATTCTAGCCTATTTAAAAAACGACCGCAGAGATAACAATCAGCAAATTACTAATAGGACTCATCATCGCCACAACAAAATCTTCAGACAGAAAAAATAACATGCCTCAAAACTTCTTCCGTCAGAAACGGTGACCTTGAGTAGTTGTCCAGTCTTCGGAAAATCAGGAAGATCAATGCTGCAATCCCACTAATCATCAAAAAAAAATTGAAAATGAATGACTGGTGCAAACCTGTACTGCTCTCTTCCCGTTAAGTTCAAGGTCTCAGCATTTTCTCCCTTTTTGAACTGAAGAGGAACAATGCCCATACCAATCAGGTTTGAACGATGGATGCGTTCGAATGATTCGGCAATAACCTTGAAACTAATGCTCAATTTTCCAACAAAACTTTATCTGAAATGAACGCACAGCTTTTACACCCAGCAAATAGGGTCCCTTTGCAGCCCAATCTCTTGAGGAGCCAGAACCATACTCTTTACCCGCAATGATGATAACCTAGACAAGAAGGTTCAAAGTATACAATTAGATACGTTGTGGAGAACCTACAGGATGACCCTCTGCGGCATACTTGATAGCGGCATCATAAACATCCATTTCCTCACCAGAAGGAATGTGCACCGTTCGTGGACCTACTTTTGACGCAAGCTTATTTGCAAGTCGAATGTTTGCAAATGTTCCTCTCGCCATGATCTGAAGCAATTTATCTCTCATTTTCGTAACCACAAAGGTGAAAATATTTATACATTTGTTAGGATAAATGAAGTTCAATTTTATAATCATCATATTGACTATTAGGCTGTGCAATGAGTTTGTTCGCATTTTTTAAACCCCTCGATGATGTGCGTGGTATTCAACAAAACGCATGTCTTCTTGTGCAGTCTTATTTGCTTACTCGATAGGTAAGCATAATTTTCTTACTTGAGAGTTAAAGACAAAACTTTTTGAAGCCTGAACCAAAAACCGCGGAAGGGAAATCCATCTTCAACTGCTTATGTTACGCCGCGAATACTCAGAGCTAAATCTAGAGACGGGTTTTCTAGTCTCTTCGAAACCTGAAGGCAGTCGTGAACTAAATGGTTAACACACAGTCCAGAGAGCAAAGAGGATGCGCTGTGAATACCATACCATCGAAGACACATAGCTTTGGGTGAGCGAAACGATGAACGTCGTCGCGACAATATCTTGCTCCGCCAACTTCAGAAAAAGCATTGAAGAGCCTGTGAAAAAAGGGAGACAGCACAATGGCAGTTTCTATAAAATTAGTCTATTTTTTGTGTGTTGTCAAACTGTTTGAGTGAATCTCCCATTCATATAAGAGAGCTTACAACTTGTCAGAAAAAAATGTCAAAAACGCCTTCCTGAACTTCTAATTTTGGAGTCGTTAGGGAACGATATAATTTGTGGAGGAGACTTGAATCTTTGAAACTTAAATACATATTGCCATTTACGTACAGAACATTGGGGAAAGAAACTGGAACAAAAACTGCGAGCGGAGGACAAGCATTTCGAAGTGAATTTGACGTAAAATTTCTTTCTTTTTCCAGGATTATGTATGTATTCAGGTTTCCATTGGTGCTAATGCCAAGATCTCGAACTCATCGTCTGCCTTTAGTAAATTTTTAAATATCAAACTTTTGTAAGAAGGTTAACAACATGCGAAACAAATGTTTTCCGTGCAATACTAAGGACGTGAGGAGCAAAAAATAAAGACCAAACTTTCTACGAAGATTAGTCGACTAAAGAAGAACCCGATGTTGAATCCAGGAAGAGTTTCAATGCAAAGAGCATAACTGCTCAAGGCAAACCACAAAAACAGTTCGTGGAGCCAGCCATTTCAAGCTTTGATGATAGCTATTGTGCAACGAAAATAGAAGCAGAAAATTCACCACAAATTATTTCGACAAAGGAAACGACAAATGGACGCAAAACGTCGGATCATAGATGCGATAGGTGGAAAAATTTCTCTGACCCCCTTCACTTTAGGGCCGGCATCTGGCTGACCCCTTTCACCTGAGGCTGAGACTAGAATCAAGGCATAACGGCCGAACTAAAAGCTGTTACAACGGCACTTTTTGTTTGGAAAGGAAAGCCAGCAACTCTTCTCCTTAGCCATTAAGACTGCAAGAGAGCATCGAAGCAACAGCGTGTTGAAAAAACGCATGCTGAGACCTTCTGCGCACTCAAAGTGGCGTTGATAACGAAATATTAGGTTGGCTAGAAAGTTCTTGCGTAATTCAAACAAAATTCGATAACTTTTCAATGACTAGACCTAAATTCGCAATCTTGTTCCCTAAAAATATTAGAAGGCCTGCGCTCTATGATGGATGTTTATGCGCTGCGCTCTATGATGGATGTTTATGCGCAACATTTCATGAGCTAGCCCCCGAGAACGAAGCTCTCAAATATGGGACTTCAAAATTTGCAATTTTGAGTTTGGTGCCAGAAAATCGCAGAGTGCCGCTAGCTAGCCGAAAAAAATCTGTAAAAATTACTTACACTGCAGAAGTCCATAAGTTACTTTGGAAGGCTTTGATCTTGCACGGTGAAGCAAAAACAAAAAATTCGTGAAATAGTCATTTTGCCGAAAAAATCCACTCATTACCGCAGTTTTTCGACAAAAACAATTTTTTACACTCCAAAAAACGTCGCAAGGTCCTAAATAGCCAATATGTCTTATTTCTGGTAGCAAACTGTGTTTTTGTGGAAAAATTCCATCGATAAGGGGATTTATCCTGTAAAATGACAAATTCCACAAATTTTTTGTTCTCGCGTTTCCATGCGAGATTAAAGCCTGCTAAAATAACGTATGGACTTCTACTGTGTAAGTAATTTTTACAGATTTTTTTTGGCGAGCTAGCGACCCTGTGTGATTTTCTGGCACCAAACTCAAAATCGCAAATTTTGAAGTCCCATATTTGAGAGCTTCGTTCTCGGGGGCTAGCTCATGAAATCTTGCGCTTAAACATCCATCATAGAGCGCAGGCCTTCTAATATTTTTAGGGAACAAGAGTGTGAATTTAGGTTCAGTCATTGAAAAGTTATCGAATTTTGTTTGAATTACGCAAGAACTTTCTAGCCAACCTAATATAATCAAAAACTAAAGGGGTGTTTGATTCTTTGAGTAATTATCATTGTATCAATGAATACACATTATCGCAAGAAAGAGTGAGCAAGAGTAAAAAATCCGGACTGGCTACTGATGGATGCATGTTTACTGACAGGGATCGTACCATATCTGAAGAAAATAATAACATATTAATAAAGCTGTCGTTTCTCAAGCTTTCGAATCATAAGTAAAACTTCGAAAAAGACCTTCTTGGTTCAAAAATGGAGCGTGAGATGATCACCCAAAATTAGCTGATATTGTAGTCAGATAAAACTGCTCGTATCTCGCTTCACAGAAAAGCTAGGAAGAAAGAGACGGCCTATGTCGATTTCTCGTGTTCTTAGCTATCGAATGGTATACAGTGTTGGGTAAAGTATTGGTGCACAAAGTCTTCTCACAAGGAGAGGATACTTAGTCGAAAGCACCAATCCGGATGAGACATATATCATCTTAAAGCGCTTGAAATGCTAATTCCAAATCTGTAGTTTCTAGATGCGGAGCGGATTTGTAGAAGGAGTTATGAGGGGTGTTCCCCTCTGGGGTTGAGGCGCCCTTGAGCGGTCTCCCCTTATCTATGAGCACTGTAGAGGAGTATCAGCTGGTGGCAACTGGCCTAATGGTAAGTAACTTGAATGAAGATTACAATAAGGATTATAATGCTCGTATTACTTTGGTTTTTTAACACTTCTAACTTCGATTAGCATCAATATCATCGGAAAGTTCAGGCTTTAGGGCTCTGAAGTCATTTAGAAGCTCAATTTGGCAAAAACTGCGATACAGTTGCATGCCAAGGGGATTGAAATCTTGACACTCTACTTATCAAGCATGTCACTTACCATCAAGTCAGTTGCCACCAGTTGGTATTCCTCTACAGTGCTCATAGGTAGGGGAAGTCCTGTGGCCGTATTCATCAACAAGCAACCCAGTGGGTTCCGGAACCCAGTTCAGTGCTTTTGATGAATATCGATTCTACTCCAGGGTAGAATCGATATTCATCAAAAGCACTAAATGGGTTCCTGAACCCACTGGGTTGTTCGTTGATGAATACGGCCACTGGTGGGGGGGCGCCTCAACCTAGAGGGAAACAACCCTCATAACTCCCACAAAACCGCTCCGCAGCTAGAAACTACAGATTTGGAATCAGCGTTCCAATCGCTTTAAGATGATTATGTCTTATCGGACTGGTGCTTTCGACTAAGTATCCTCTCCTTGTCAGTAAAAATTCCGGCGACCCATACAAGCCAAGAGCGGGGGTTGAGCAAGCTAATAGTAAATACCTCCACCTCATTTTTGAAAAGCCACGAGTTTTTTTTTTACTCAACAACCTATATATTATTAAAAAGCTCACGAAACAAGGATTCGAGACCGTCTCTTTTTCTCTGGCTCTCCTCTACTTACGGGAAGGTACTTTCAATGGCCGTGGCTTTTTGATATGGGATGCATATCATCTGAAGCAGCTTTGAACGCTTATTCTGAATCTGCTTTCCTTTTCTGCGGAGCGCTCTTCTGAAGAGAGTTATGGAAGCCTGAAAATCTTATTTTAGGAGCGCTCCTTAAAGGCAGTGGGTCGGCAGAATGAGACCCGTGGTAAAACAAGGTCACAGGGTAGTAGACCCATAATGGAACCTATGGGCCAAAGTTCGGTCTTTCTCTGCCACTTCTAACCCCCGAAATTTCAAAGCGAAAGAAGGGCTCATCTCCTGTCCTCTCCGAACCCGCCCACCACATGGACGAATGAACGCGGAGCCCGTCATGGCGAAGACGCAGAGTCGTTGCGGGACCTCATGCTTATAGCGTTGCGGCCGGCGCTCTGACCGTGGAAGTCACTCGTCCATGGGGTGGACGGGTTCGGAGAGGACAAAAGATGAACGCTGCTTTCGCTTTGAAATTTCGGGGGTTAGAAGTGGCAGAGAAAGACCGAACTTTGGCCCATAGGTTCCATTACGGGGGCTCCTACCCTGTGACCTTCTTTTGCCACGGGTCTCATTCTGCCGACGCACTGCCTTTAAGTTAGAGAGCGCTGGTATGGCGTTGGTGGTGCAATGGTGTAATAGTTGTTGGCATTGAAGGCGAAAGGCCGACGGTTCGAATCCAGTGCAGAGCGTACCATTTTGCATTACGAATGTGAGTTTAAAAACCACTCTAATTCGCCTGCAGACACTTACTGTAATGCCTTTAAAAATGCGACTTAAGGAAAAAAATTTCTGGCAGAACCGCTTGCTTGTTGAGATTTGGTTTTCTCCGCAAAAAAATTCATTTACCGACTTGAAGCGAAATTACAAAGCGAGCAAAACAGACATTTCTCACAACGAGAACTGCGTATGATGAAAACCTCCACGCAGTTCTCATGCTCGCTAGTACCCAAACTAACTAACTAACTAAAAAACTAACTAAAAACTAAATAACTAACTAAAACTAACTAACCATTACACCACTGCACCACCAACGCATGCAGCAGCGTCTTCAAACTCAAAGAGCGCACCAAAACAAGATATTTAGGCTTCCATGACTCTCTTCAGAAGAGCGCTCCGTAAAAAAGGAAAACAGATTTGAAACCAGCGTTCGAAGCTGCTTCAGATAGTATGCATCTCATATCAAAAGGCCACGGCCAATGAAAGTACTTCCCTTGTTAGAGATACATGGCATTCTAGCTAAAAACATGCGCGTTTTTGTGAGGAAATTCTTATGCAAAGAGTGAATGAAGACGCCCAGTGGTCTAACCGTATTATTGAGCAAGACTTCGCTAGTAAACGTAGACCGTCTCTTTTTTACTAGCCTTTCTTCTTTCTTTCAGAAATGGAGCGCAAAGTGATTGCATGAAATCAAGTGGTGCTGGAGCTAGGTATGATTTTTTTATATCTGAACTAGCTGGCTTACCCGGCTCAGCCGTATGTTCCGAATAGAAAATTCCATTTCTTAACCGATCCGGACCAAACTTGGCACACATACACTTCGGGCCCCGGCGGGTGTCATAGGCTACTTTTCGTTATCGATCGATGTCGATTTTATCGATTTTTTGCAAAATTTGAGCTAGGCTGCTGGAATTTGGCAGAGAGGTGTAATCGAGCATGCTGATCACCCACGTGGGGGTGATCAGCATGCTCGATTACCCCCCTGTGCCAACTCCCAGCCCCGTAGCTCAAATTTTGCAAAAAATCGATAAAATCGATAGCGATCGATGACGAAAAGTAGCCTATGACACCCGCCGGGGCCCGAAGTGTATGTGTGCCAAGTTTGGTGCGGATCGGTTCAGAAATGGAATTTTCTATTCGGAACATACGTACACACAGACAGACATACAGACAGACAGACAGACATACAGACAGACAAACAGACATTCAGCTTTATATATAAGATTCACAGGAGAGCTGGAAAGAAAGAGACGATCTGGTCGATTTTGTATGTTCCAAGCTTTGGAGTGGTATGTCGATTAATGAGACATAAAGCTCTCCTGAGTCAAAAAAGTCTCTGTTGGATGACCTTCCAAAGCCTAAGCTTTGAGAGAATCTTCATATTACACCACCTCTGTACCATTTATTTTCCTTCTTTTACCCTCTCCCGTTAAGAACGTAAGCTTGCGTCAGCATTCATCTTAAAGCTCAGTTACCCCCTTCACTTTTTTAGGTCGGAAAAAGCCAACCCCCCCCCCCTCCCCCTTCACCAGGAGGGGACCCTGCTCCCCCTATCACCCCATTCCTTCATAAATCAGTTTTATCAATTGGAAAAAAAACTGAACAGCTTCCCGTAACTGTTCACGTGATGTCTGGAAAACTGTCACCCATGTAGTGATGAATCTTATATATAAAGCTGAATGTCTGTTTGTCTGTCTGTATGTCTGTCTGTATGTCTGTATGTCTGTCTGTACGTATGTTCCAAATAGAAAATTCCATTTCTGAACCGATCGGGACCAAACTTGGCACACATACACTTCGGGCCCCGGCGGGTGTCATAGGCCACTTTTCGTCATCGATCGATATCGATTTTATCGATTTTTTGCAAAATTTGAGCTACGGGGCTGGGAGTTGGCACAGGGGGGGGGGTAATCGAGCATGCTGATCACCCCGTGGGGGTGATCAGCATGCTCGATTACACCCCTCTGTGCATTTTCTATTCGGAACATACGGCCGAGCCGGGTAAGCCAGCTAGTTGATGATAATTTGAGCTAAGTGCCTAGATCAAAAGCACAAATTACCCAAAAGTGTATTCGCTGCATACTTTGGCCAAACATCAATGACTGTTATGCCTCCCAACTTTCAGTGAGTGAGGCTGTTCCAGCCTAGCATGCACGAAAAAGAGCAAGTTCAAAATGGAAAGAAAACAAAAATTACTTCATCATTTCCTCGTCGGGCTCCATATGTATTAAAATCCCTAGGAGAACAGCCCCGGATAGCAAGATACCGAGCTGCCGGTGAGTTCTGAAAAAAGACTATCAACATTTTACGACACTCCCGGAACGCCATACCTTGGCAATAGATCCGGCAGGTGAGATGTGGTCAGTTGTGACTGAGTCACCAAGATGCAACAGGACATAAGCGTTCGAAATAGCGGACCGCTTTGGAAGGTCAAGGGTCTAAAGGAGAGCAATCAGATGTTTGGTGAGGAGAGAACACCCAAACACAGAAGCCCAGTCGTGTACAGATGTCAAACAATGCAGTAACAATAATAAAGGTTCATGTCGTCTACTGAAGTTTGAAGGCACCGTCCACCTAAATTTTCGACTTCCATGTTTCTGTCGTTCCGGGGCTTCTTATGTCCCTGATTCCGAATATCAAGTCGAGAATCTGCGAAAGCCTCGACGATCCACGTTGCGCAGAACCCGCAGGGTTACGGTAAATATTTGGGTGAGCACGGATGGGCGGGACGAACTCAAAGGGTAGGAACTAGGCGAATCCGTCACCCGAAGCATTTTTTTCGCTTTGAAAGGAGCTTTTGGCAGCGCGAGTTGAGCAAGTATACAAATGGCAGCCCCGCTACTCTTAGGCCTAAGGCATACCTCACGCGATTCGGCCGAATCGCCACTTTCACGCGACTTGGCGATTTGCCATATTTCTATAAATATATCATGCGCACTTCTCGGACGCATATTTGGGTAGCTTGTGTAAGTTGTTGCAAACAGAGCAAGTTCTGACCAAAGGAAGCAAGTTCTGACCAAAACGAGGAATTACGAAGAATCGCTGTTTGCCAAATCGCGCAGCGACCGGAATCGCGCGAGGTATGCTTTAGGCCTTAGGCTTTAAAATCTCATCGACCTCATTTGAGTGGACGGTGCCTTTAACAGACGCCAGAAGACTATGATAACGCACCATGAAGTCAAAGAAGGGGACCTTCTTGATGTACGTGCTGTCCTGATCCCACGGATATAGCTTGGCTGATGGACACTGGAGCTGTTGCCACTGATCTGAACCTCTTCCAATGTTGGCGTACACCTACCACGGAAATGAGCAAGATTTAAGTGATGAGACACCGCAATGAAACCTCGTTGAAGAACTGTGGCTTGACAAATTCTTCCTCAAGCTTAGCAATCTCCTGCCTGGTTGGCCAGATGTCTTTAAAATATACATCCTTGCCATCAGCTGATTTTGCTGCAAAAACATGGTCTAACAGCTTCAAGGCACAAAAGGCGCTCTCACCGATCACTCCGCTAATGTCCTTATTAACATTTCCAATAATCGAATATGCCACAGCTAGAGGAGGACTAGCAAGATAATTTGCGCGTACAAGAGGATGAATCCTACCCTCGAAGTTGCGATTCCCAGATAGTACGCCAGCAACAACAAGATTTTCCTTTAACATCAAGGTCAATGTGTGTAATGAGATGATTTACTGTCCTAGAAAAATACCTTTTCAATAACTTTGGAGACCTCCTCATCGAGAGGACCAGAATTTCCAATGCAAGTCATGCATCCGTATCCAGCAATGTGAAAGCCAAGCTTCTCCAGATAAGGAAGAAGACCTGATGCTTCGAGGTACTTTGCGGCAACTTTCGATCCTGGGGAAAGTGACGTTTTAGCGAAGGGTTGTGTGGACAATCCAAGTTCGACGGCCTGTAAGCAGATAGATAAGAGAGAGATAGGCTACTTTGAGTAAGTGTCCTCTCAAACTGCTCTTCAAACGATGAACTACGACAGGAAAAATTTGGCTGCCAATTTTAGGAATTGTTAATTGGCGCGAGGCAAAGAACGTGCCGCTTCGCTAATTTTTATACAAAAATGAGAAAACCATCCAGTATTCTACCCAGGAAGCTCAAAAACGAGAGTGGAATTCTTAAACTCAATTTTTGAAACGGAAATAACCAAATGTAGAGTCAAGACGCACTAGCCAATTGCATTCATTGTAGCCAAATTTTAGCTATTCGTCAGACTGCCAGCTATGGCGATAGTATACTGAATTCAACCGGATCAAGTTTGATGCAATCGTATTCTGGAAGTTTAAATCCTTGACCCTGCTAAAGTAAGTTTAGGTCAACAAACGCGTCCTCGTCCCTTTTCGGGGCGTAGCGTTGCGGACGCACTGACGCAGCCATCCAGCTGTCTGGTTTTCACCTACTTGATTCCGTTTTCTTCATAAACACATGGAATGAAACACTATGCTTTCAACGGGTCACTGCATTGATGGCAGCGTGCTACTACGGCATCTTCTAGACACCTCAGCCCGGTGCGCGAAAATCTAACGAACCTTTTTCGAGTTCTTCAACCTGAAATTTTTAATGCGACATCGCCGCGCGGCGGAATGGACGAGCGCGAGTCATGCAATATCCGCTGTGCTTGAGAGTGGCTCAAGCGCAAGCCACGCGTCAGGAGTCACACCTTAGATGAGGTTGAGCAAGAGATTGGGCACATGTCCTCTAAAACGACCACCCCCCCCCGTGCACATCTGCCTGAACCCATCCCTCTTCATTCTCACCTCTGTTATCTCATGGTGCTGCACTCCGGAGAGGAACAAGGCTGGTGGCGAATTTCTGATTTTTTGAAATGAGCTCGCCTGTTCTCTAAGATTGCACACGACTAACACGGTAGAAAGCATGACAATTACCGCTCAGGCTTGAGTTTTCAGGACCCGCAACTTCCTCAGAAAAAGAGGGTGTGGGACCAAACTGGTGCTGGTAATACAGGTTCTTTGCTTACTTCCCATTAGTGGAGTGGATTGCGGTCTCTGAAGGTAAGTTAAGTGGGTCAGGCACACGGCTAAAAAGCTCAGGCAGTCTGACCTATGGTGCTTGATCCCATTAACTTGCTCTCCAAAGAGGCTTTTTCACCCACGTTTTATGTCGTTCGTTAGCACATACCGTTTAGGCCTAAGGCATACCTCTCGCGATTCTAGTCGCGGCGCGATTTCCGACTCGGACATATGTTCCGAGTCCGCCGCGCATGCGCGCCTAACTATGTGGTCACGTTGTCTTTGTGTTAGGTTGACGCTGCGACAAATCGCGGGCCATTTTTGCATGAGTGTACCTTCAGACTGGTCATGGTTGCTGCGCTGATGCGGAATTAGCGATGAGCAAATCTCTCAAAAGCTCTTTTCCCTTGCAAGAAGTTTTTATTTTTATGCAAATGTGGAAGGCATTCAGAATCATTCCATCTCACACAAGAGCTTCTTCTTTGCATGAGAGAGGGATGGCCATCGAAACATTCCATACTATTAGTCCTTGAAAACTTACGTAAAACATGCTAAGTAAATAAATAGTATGGAGTGCCCATATGTCACCTCTCTGTGTTAGCACATTTACTGTTCCAGCAATGCATGATCTTCTCCTGTTCTTCTTTAACTACAAGTAAATGGTGTTCGAATGTTCTTGCTATAAATTCTCAAGCACAATAGATGTGCAATCTCGGTAGCTCAGGCACATATTATATAATCGTTCGCAGACTGGCAAACAAGAGCTTGCGAAAAACTCGCTAGTAAATTATGCCTATCCAGGGTTTTTCAAGGTCGAAAGCCTGGCTTTCCTGTTATAAAACTACCGCATATGCCTAACAATGACTGGAAGAGTGAACTCAAAAGTTTATGAACTAGTAGTCGGTTTTACTGCAGATGTTAACTTGCGCCGGTAGAAAAACGTTGGTAGAAATCAGGATAGAAAGTGAATCCGTATCCTTCCGTTTGATTTAATGTTCTCTGATGGCATAAGGCGCCACATTCTGTGAATTTCCCTGAATAAATGCACTTCGGACAAACTAGCGCAAGCTCCAAAAGTCCGTGTAACACAGCGTGGTGTCTGAGCGTCCACGAAATCGCTAAGGATATGTCCCGTAATCACGCGATGAGCGATTTTCACGCAATGAACGATAGCCCAGGCAGTCTCGCCGACCGAAAATCTCAACGATCGGATCGTTGGAGGTATGCCTTAGGCCTTAGATTACAGTAGGTGTGAGCCTAATTCGACTTGTGTTCCGGTAGTCCACGGAGCAAAAGCACTCTATGTGAAAAAAGCTGTAATTGGAGTTTCGGGACACTCCTGAACCTGCTATTTAGGAACGACATAAAAAGGACTTCCTAGAAATTTGGTAAATTTGCATCGTTGCGAGTAAAAAAGCTGACTTTTCATCCTTAAAACTAAATCATGTTTGAAAATGACATTTTTCAGATACTGGGAAGTATTGAAATTTGTAACCGGTGAAGGATCCTTAAGCGCATAGGGGGTGTAATTTGAAGTGCTGATTATGGAAATCACCTTCATTTTACATGGTGCGGCTTTTTTCGGTAGTTTACGATAAGTGTACGGTATAAGGAAGTTTTCAAAACAGACTGAAGCATCAATAGTAAAGTTATTCGGGATGGTGTTCCCAGGGTATTTATTTATTTATTTATTAGATGGGTCCGAAAGTTCTGTCGTTTTATTTTCAAAAATTTGTAACTTTGCGCTGTATCAACAAATTTGCTTGCTTGTAATTTTGTCAGAAAGAAAAAGTCTTTCTCTTCCGAACGCTGTTTTGCGGAGCTTCTGTTTCACATTGGGTGCGGAGATAAAAATGGAAAACTAAGACCACATAAGCTTTGACAATTTTGAGTTAGGTCGCTAAAAATCGGGAACGCTGCAGAAAAATCTGAAATCGTCAGTACATATGTTTTTTGGCCTACCCTTTGCATCTGTGAAAAGTCTGTGCTGTTTGGACGTCTCTGTGAGAAGTTATAATTATTGAGAAAATTGGCAAATTAGTCAATTTTGGCGTTTTCCATAGTAAACTCGAAAATTATAACTTTTTACAGAGAGGTCCAAACAGCACAAATTTTTCACAGTTGCGAAGATAGGTCAAAAAACATATGTACTGACGATTTCAGATTTTTCTGCAGCGTTCCCGATTTTTGGTGACCTAACTTAAAATGGTCAAAGCTTATATGGTCTTAGTTTTCCATTTTTATCTCCGCACCCAACGTGAAACAGAAGCTCCGCAAAACAGCGTTCGGAAGCGAAAGACTTATTCTTTCTGATAAAATTACAGGCAAGCAAATCCGTTGACACAGCGCAAAGTTACAAATTTTTGAAAATGAAACGACAGAACTTTCGGACCCACCTAATATTTATTTATTTATGTTTGCACTCATAAGTGCGCCACATGAAGAACACAAAGCAGCACAAATGGCAGACAAAAAATAGTTTCCGCTGAATGATTTTTGTAAGATCAATCTCTTGCACAGGTGGTCAGGTCGTTTTCTGCAGAACGTGAAAAACCATCGACCGAGATCCTTTTCCCCTATCCCGACGCAATGATGACGATTTAGACCAGGGCTTGGATTACCAACTTAACCCGGCGAACCGAGTTCACTAGGGACCCTGGGCGAAAGGACAAGGCGGACCTCAAGGTAGAAGGGTCACTGAACCTTGAAATCCTTGAACGGCTACTCCTTTTGAAGAGACCATGACGATTGCTCTGCGGAAACTAGACCGAGAAAAACTTAGTAAATATAAATATAAACAGCAAAAAAAAAGCCACCAGAAGGAGAACGACCTGACCACCTGTGCAAGAGACTGATCTCACAAGTACTCAAACTTTGCAATAATCAGTAAGCTTGTTTTAGTGAAAGTATGACTTTTATCAATCTAGCGCTTTTGTTCTTCACCTTGTCCAAGCGTAGTGTCTCATTACAATTACGATTCTCTCCTCCCCGACCCCACCCCCCATACGACCCTCACAGGTGAGGCAGCCTAGAGGGTCGGGCAGAGGCATGTCTGAGTGAATCCACTCAGACATTCAAAGGCTCTCAGCCGGCCCCACCAAAAGCGTCGTTGCCTCATCGCCGCCACTTTCGCTTCGCGCTGAAGACTTTATGGCAGCCTGCTCGCTGCCAATTCTAGCAAACTTTTTCAGCGGGAAGCGAAAAGTGGCGGCGATAAGGCAACGACGCTTTTGGTGGGGCCGGCTGAGAGCCTTTGATTGCCTGAGCATCGCGTCATATTTCGTGAAAAGACAACTGTTACACTGCGTGCTCGCCTATCACGCACGTGGGTCGTGCGTTGTCCGACGTGACGCATTGCGCTAGGGCATACTCGCCCAGCGAAGTCGCCGCGATTTTCGCGAATCTTAGCGAATTCGCGTCGCTAATTGGAATGAGCGATGCGAATTCGCTAAAGGGCCGGCATACCTCAAGCGACGATATCGTCGCGACCTGCTGGGAACTAGCGACGAAAACGTGCGACGGGATCGTCAATTGCTCGGAATGGGCATACCACTGCAGCGATTTATGCGTTCTCAAAATCCAGTGCACATTCTACAAATTTTGAGTAGTCTTCGGATGATTTTTACTTTGCGCTTTGACGCAAAGGACACAAAATTGATGAAGGTATTCTAACTAGTAGAAGTACATACGATTTTGATCAGAAAATACCTTCTTTGTAGGTGGGTAAAGGTTAAGATATGTTGTAAACGATTTTGATGTGATTCTAATGATCGATTTATTATATTAAACCGAATCATTCGTTTAATTATTCCACCTCAAACAACAAGTCAGCAAGATAGACAGAATTCGGATAGTACAAAGCACAGAAGCAGTGCAAACCAATGCACTCTGTTGAAATTGGACTAGTTCGGAACTCTCACATAAGAAA